ATTGGAATATGCTTGGAAGGGCAAAAAGCCATGAAAATATCTTTTCTTCTTCCTTTAAAAAGAAACACGGGCTATAACACAAATCAGTGTGTTATTTGATCCCATCTCCCCCTTCTTGATTCTCTCAGTTACAGAAATGTGCAACTAGAACTGTTTGGCACTGGTTCCTCTTCTGGTTCCATGGGTCACTCCAGGTCTTAGTGAAGAGAAGCAAACTTGTAAATGAATTGCTCTGGAATTTCGGTCTGACTTATGCATTTTCTTTTATTTATTTCATTTTTGCATTGAAAACATTACATTTCTGTTTCCTTATAGAGTAGTGTATCAAGAGCCTGTGTATGGCAATAAATTGCTACAGGTATGAAATCCTGACTGGTGGAAAAATTCATCACTCTGGTTGTGGGTTTGCTGTGAAATCTTACTAACAAGACCATTCCAGGGAGGGAGATATTCCCTAACGTAGGAGGAAAGACTGAACTGAATTTTCCAGTTTTGATGTGAATTCTCCAAGAATGGAGATGGTCATCCTCAAATTTCCCCTTTGCTAGATCATGAGTGTATCAAAATGGGGGTCTGGCTTGGCTATACATTTCTTAAAATGCATCTGGTCTCAATCAATATAAATTCAGTGAAAAAGAAATCTAGGGTTTCTTTGAACCAATTGTCTAAGAAAAATTTTAGTAGGTTCCAGGAGTCACCTGGAATGGTTAAACAAAACAAAAAGCCTCTTTTGCATCTAGTATTGAGGAAAACTAATATATTTCTTCCTGGTTTCATTGTGGGTTCTTATAAATTTGTTTCACATCCATTGCTATAGCTTCCAAACCTACTTCTCACTGCCAAAGCCACCCCCAAATGAAAAAATTTGCAGGAAGAAAAGGAGCCCCACATTCATTGGAATGTAGATGGTTGAGTCTCCAAATTTGGTCTAAAACCAACATTAAAACTGTCAAATAAAATGAAAGAAGAATGTAATACTAGGGTAATCAGTGGGAGTTTTATTACATGGGTTTTCCTATAACCTGCAATTATCATTTTTGTTCAGTATTAAGTCCATTAAGAAAGTACATTTTTTACTGTGAAAATTAATCATTTTAATAAGAACTCTATTATGAAAAAGGGGTACTTGAGACTAAGAGAGGACAAATTAATTAAAATTCCTGACATGAACTTTTATTTTTACCTTTCAAGAAAACTTGCCACATTTCAAAAACAGCTGAATGTATAATGCAGATAAATTAGGGAATAATGATTTATATTTAAGTGTCTCATCTTGCAAATGTCCTTGTAAATGTTGTTTTCATACATAAAATGTTGAGTTCATTATACATACACCAATCTATCTGCTTTGCACAAAGTGAGATCCTGGGATATTCTTGGAGAAGAGGAGATGTGTCTGTGATCAAGCCCATCACAGTCCCACCCATCCCAGGTCCCCACCAGCACCCACAAGTTTCACCTCCCCCAAGTAATTCACCATTTGGATAGTAGAACATCTTTTTCCAAAAAGTATGCTCTCAAGTTAACAATGTGATTCCCTTTGTCTACTTTACGATGCAGTGGAGATCCATGGTGCTCGTCAGCATTGCTTTAAGTTCCACAAATAGAGCAATCACTTCCATAAGTGCTTAATTAAGTAATTCCCAAGCCTATCTGATTCAGGTACCTTCCCTTTCCCTGCTACTACTAGTATCCCAGCAGTACACTTCTGAAAATACTTTATTAGGGCGTCACTAGAGATTCCTAATCAGTAAATTCCCCCAAAGGACCTCCAGGGGTCTCGGTAACAAATGAAATGTTTCCGACTCGGTGAGCCAGTATCTTAGGTGGCTACATCCATCCGATGGTAGTGGCAGGGGAGGGAGGGACAATTTATAAGGGCCATTTAAAATTTGTATTTCATATAAGGTCACATTTATATTTTGTTTCTGTCCAGAATGTGAAAAATGAGTATGTTTTATGAGTAGGGAGTGGAGAACTATGTTGTGCTTGTCACCCCTTTTCCATTGGTAGTGAGGGAAAATCTCACTGTCAAGGATACATTTTCGTCCTAAGATCTGGGAGGACCAGTTTCAACATGGACACGGTTTGGTGACAGCAAATGGAAGTGAGCTCTCCGTTTTCAGACATTAGCACAGAACCTTGCAGCAGCTCCGGCCATGCTCAGCGAACTGCAAAATATGGAGCAATAAAATTGATGACAGTTACCTGTTAGAAAGGCAAATTAAAGCCATTTGTATTTTTTTTGATAATTTTACAGTATTTGCACACAGACACTGAGTTAATACACAACTCTGTTATTCCCCTAATATGGGTTTTAGACAGACGAAAAACAGTCCAGAAGGCAATGAAGTAGATAGATGTGCAGGTATGAGGCCACCTAACCCTTTTCTTTTCCCAATTGTTATATATTTCAGGGATCACATAGACCTGGACTCACTAGGGTAGCCACCAGCCCCCTGTGGCTATTTACATTCCAATGAACCCAAATTCAATATATTACAAATTCAGTTTGTTGTACTAGCTGTATTTCCAGTGTTCAGTAGTCACTGACAAGTGGCTACCGTATCGTACAGCACAGACACTGGCTCTACAGACTTTAGCAAACGATGGCCTTGACTCTTGAATCTGGAGAGCTTTTAACAAATTCTTAGTGAACAAAGATAAGCATTAGGGCATTGACCACTGGTGCTGGTATTGCATGGAAACACACGCCTGTGTTCTCTGAGTGGCCAAATTATATGCAATTATGGAGAGAACGGGTCCTCTCAAAGCTTCATAGATGAGCATGTCTGTTGTGCGAGTGGATCTCCGGTGAACACATATCCATGTTAGGTTCATACAATAAATATGGGCGTAGTGCTCAGTGAGATTCATGTTTGTTACCTTCTGTGTGCACTGTCACAGCTATTTCCACTCATCAAACTCGTCACCTAATTTCATTGATGAAAACTACTGCAGAAGTTGAGGGAGACGTACAGAGTTCAAACAAAGAGGATTTGCAAGTGGGACGAGGCTAAAAATCTTTGCTGGGACCAAATTCACAGTCACCAAAGCATGATTGATTGACATGGCAGTTGATGCAAATATCTTGGCAGGATTTTTTTATTATTCTGGGAGTGAGAGACAAAAATAACACACACTCACACACACATGCACACATACACATGCACACACACACTTTCTCCACTCAGAGCTTTCAGCTGGTTGCAGCTAATGCTTCCCAGCCATCAGCTAGCCAATTCCAGCCCCTCCCTCCTCCCTCATTAAGTGTACTGCACACCTGTCTTTCTGGATGCATCAAGAAAGCCACGGAGATGGACAGGCAAATGAAAAGAATGGCTCCAGAAATCTGGTGACCTCTTTCCCCTCAGCCCACCAGGCTGTGTCTGAGCTCGGTGCTGGTGTGACAACGGCTCTGGTTTTACAACTCCTCAGCACATTTAATGAGTTTCCCCGCTCCTAATTAGAGAACATGGTGTTTGGAACACCAGGTGGTGTCTGGCTAAGACCTCATGTTTTTTTTGTGTTGGTGTTTTTTTTGTATTTGTGCTTTACGAATTAGAATTGTTTTTCAAGGGAGACATTTTTTCTTTTATCTGGCTCCAAATTATTGCTGATTATCTGTCAGAATGTCTTGGATCTGTCTCCTCCAGGACTGATCCGAAGAACAGACTTGTGCAAGGACAAACTAGCTTTCTAGAATTGCTGTGTAAGTGATGGCGAGATTCCTCTGAAAGTGAGCTGTGGGTGGTAGAAGGTAGAAATAAATGATTGAGACCAGTTTAATCTACATGTTAAAAGATGAGTTTTGAGCTTCCCCATTCATCTGCCTCCTATCCTACTGCTTGGTTTTTCCCTATAGGATATGGAGCCAAATGTAACAAACACCTCTACTCTCTATTCTATGCTTAAGTATCCTCTGGCACATCCACGGTCTTGCTGTTAGGTGCCCGTGGACACAGTAGCCTGTCCCAAGTTGCCCCGCAGAGGATTGTGGGACTGCATTCCTATTAGAACCTGAATGGTCCCTGTCTTATCAGTGGAGCCTGGAGCCTGTTTGTTAATTGTGCTGAGATCATTCTACGGTGGCTGATGTCTCGCCGTGGTCGGCTGAGCAAGACGTTCTGTTATTTTCGCAGTTTGATAATCAATGCTCCACTGAACACATTCCTTTCAAATATGCCCATTTGCTTGTCCTCTGCTTAATTGAACAATTGCAATTACTGGTACATACAAGTAAATGTTAATTATTTTTTCAGATTTTTTTCTCTCTTAATGATTTTATTTACAAATTGGAATCCTTTATCATATTTTCCACACCGAATTCCCCATCCGAATCTCTGTGATATCTTTAGCCGAAAAGACAGAATTTTTAAGAAGCATTTACCATTCCTTTAAAAAAAATTATGTAAGATGTGCAAAGCTAAGAACTGTCTTCTTTAACTGCTTTACTGGTTAAACAACTATATATGCAAGAGATTACTAGTAAGCTTGCCTTATAAGGGGGTTAAAAATAAATAAATAGAAAAGACAAGAGGGTAATTGTTTAACCTATGCTGGATTTTTAAGGAAGGAATCAAAGACTGTTTGAATAAAATGTAAGTTAATAGTTAATAAGTAAAGGTAAAGTATAATCGGTTTTGAAAATCTGGAAAGTTCAGCAAAGTATCAAGAGTACTTAAATAATTCCCCATAATCCTCCCCATCCCAAGACAATCACTGTTAACTCTTAGGTACATGTCCCTCAAAGGGTACCTGGGTTCCCCCTGGGGATATGCTTACACCTGCTAACCTTTAACATCCGGCTGGAGTTGGTCTCCAATCCCCTGTCCCTCTGGTGTGTGTTTTTGTACTTCCGCTCTGACACTAAGCTTTCATTAACCTCCACTTTAGACTGGTAGATTTGGGTCACTGCTGTTCTGGTGTGGTCTCACCATGGGGCCTCCCTGAGTCGGGCTCCTTGGCATCGCTAAGTTCACTTTCTCCTTGTGTTTTAGGGTGGTTATGCTGCATACCGCTACGCCCAGCCTACCCCAGCCACTGCAGCTGCCTACAGTGACAGGTAAGGGTCTTCCTTTTTGTGCTTGACAGCCACTTGGAAATTAACTCAGCTGGTGGGGAGACGAGATTCGTGTCCAGTCTTGATGCAAATGCATGACACCTGGGTAGGCAGCACCCACCAAGTTAGGTCCCACGTGAGACCACAAAGAGGGCCACACAGAGACAGGATGGACAGCGATGCCCAGTTCATTCCAAACTCTCGCCCTCTTTGCTAAGACACAAAGAAAATGGTATGTTTTGTTTGTGTATAGATCTTTCGGCCCTTGCGACAGCACACCTTGCATGTACATGCACACGCCCTGTGCAACCTGCTCATGGTCTTCTCTGGAAGACCATGGTCTCATCCAGCTCAGATGAAGAAAACAGAAGATGATCCCGCAGGCTTACCTTGACTGCGAGCACCCCATCACCCTTTGTTACAGCTCTTTACACCCAGTGAACCACTATTTAATCCATCAGAAAGGAGTGGGGGAGGCGTAGCTGGCATTCCTAAGGAGATCGGTGCTTTTTGAAACATCCAGTGTCCAATCCTACTAAGACAAGCCGACTTTTATTTGTAATGCACGCCACACCCTAAAACAGGCAGCACAAGGGACAGAAGTGGGTTTAAAACATGCACAAGTCATAATGGATGGCGGGGGAGGGTTGGTGTGGAAGAGCTTTATGACCAATTACCCAGGCTTAACAGATGACTCGGTTCCTGAAACGACAAGCCGCAGCTATTTCTGTTTAGGTGCCTTGAAAAAAGAAAGTGTGTGTTTCCATATTGAATGCAACGCGTTGGCTCTGTTTCCTGAGGACATAAATGTGAATGTTCAGATGCTCTGCATGCTCAAATGTCACTGAGGGTGCTTATTTTGGGTAATGACTCCTTTCATTTAAAAATATGTTTCATGAATAAAGCAGTGATGATAACAATTTGCATGTGTGGCTGAGGCATGCTGGGTCAGACAGGTAAGGAAGGAGATGTATTTGATCTTGAATGGGAGGTGTCGGCAGCCACTGGTCCTCCTCCCCGGCCTGTTGTGACTGGGTTCCTACCTGGGTTTGCTCTGGTGCTTTCCCTGCAGTTCCATTCCATTCCTCCCAGACGTGTTGTGAGCTCATTGCGGCAACAGAATTCTTCTGAGGTCTAATAAAGCAAAGGAAATTGCTGAGCCTTAAGAACGGCACTTTGAAAACCCCGTGCACACACATGTAATAAAATGGCTCTTTGGCAAGGTGGAGTTGAGATCTGCCTTCTGCTTATATGCAGGAATTATTACTGTATTCTTAAAAAACAACCATAACGAGGTCTCAAGGCTGGAGGGAGCTTCCAAAGAAATTCAAACAATTGGCAAGATTCAGATCCAAATACATAAATTATGCAGTTACCCAATAATTACAAAAATAGGTTTTATGTAAGTTGCTATCTTCAATACACTTTGACACTGGATTAGGAAAAAGGAGAGGGCCAGTAGGTTAATAAAAACGTTGACAATCTTGAAGTACTTAAGATTATCCTACAAATGAAAAGGCTTAACGCTATTAAATTCTGCACACCAAAGATTCACCAAGTATCAGTTGTAATGTGGTTTATCTACAATCCTTAATTATTTTTATGAAAATATTTCTAGATGCTAAATTCGTAAACACCCACTTTGTATGTAATTATAATCATAGTAACTTAAGCCTGCTGTATAATTATAAGAATCTTAAACAGATTTATTTTTGGAGGGATTTTTATCTTGCTTCTCAGTATAAGTGCATCTACCCCCAAGTTGAAAACAAGGTTAATTACAAAGATCTCATTTAAATTGCGTTCTTCAATAAGACCAATTTAGACATTTAAAAAAATAATGTTTAACACTATTCTTAGATAGAATTACTTGAGGATCTGTCCATCTCCTTTTGTATTCATCTAAAACTTAAGTTAAAATGTTGTTGCATTTGCGGGCACCATATATGCAAATATGTGTATGAAAATCTGTTATTTTAATTTTATTAAGATTCTCATTGGCAACATGTCTTACTGAAAAATTGCCCTCATTCTTGAATTGGTAAATTTTGAATAACTTTACAATTCCCACTTGATTCTAATAGTTTCAGTTGAAGAAACTCAGTGGTAATAGTCTTATCCATGTAATTGGCCTCTTGCTGTTCATTAAAAATATTTGCACATTAGGTCTTCTTACTTGCTGTGTAAATTGGTTACCAACCCTATTTAACTGTATTATAAGCAAGACACATGCCACATATGGAAATATAGCATTGAAGTAAATGCAGTAATAGGTAAATTACCAGAAAACAATCTTTAAAATGATATTTCTGGTTTGATTTGTAAAGTGTATTTATGAAGTGGTGGTCTTCCCTATTACTTTTAGTAAACAGGTAAGATGAAGAAAGACCCTTTTATAGAAGACACATGTCTTGGTGAAATTATCAGAATAGCTTTTGAATCTAGATTGAAGATGCCAAGTATCTAGAATTTATCTTAGGGCAGCTGTTAATATTTTATTTTAACACAATCACAGTGTAATATCAATAATGATCGATTCTTAGCTCCTGTTCTCTAGAAGATAAAGAGGAAAACTCCTTAACCCAAAGAAACCCTTCCAGAATAGAAGGTAAAATCAGCACGAATTAGAACGTTTTGGTAATGTCCATAGTTGGCAACCTGTTCCAAAGAGAAAGTGCAGCAACCTGCCCTGTCACCATGAGTCATTTCAGATGTCTTGAAAGTGAAAGAAGTTTGGTGTCCCCAGTTGGTAGAATGTTACCTTTTATCAGCACAAATTAAGCTTTCACCCAATTAAAAATTCAGGGACCTTTGGAAGATATTGAACTCAGGTAACCTCAGGACGGCCCAGAAGGTCCTTGATGGGCAGCTTGCAACTCTTTGCCCATCGTTTTCTTGGTTAAACTATCACATGCTGATTACCTTGGAGCATCCTGAGAGTTTCTGAGCGCTGACCTCCAGAACGAACACCATCTGGTGTGGGCAGAGATTTCCCCAAAAGAAAAAGACCTGACTGGACTAGGTGATTTGGGAGTCTCCTTGATGCATTTAACAGGAATAGGCAAACATCTTTCCTCGGCATTTAGGAAATACTTGGTAAGCACTTGACCTCACCAAATCTTTATTTCCAACCTCACTTTGATTTATGAAAAGCCAACTGTCCAAACTGTCCAAGGAGATTGTGTTCTGAGCTTGAACCAATGAAAGCATGGCAGTGGGGCCGACGGTCATCTGGTCATTGCATGCCACTTGGTGTTGCTGATGTGTCCGTGATACGTTCTGGATCTGACAGGTCCATCATCACATTAGCTCAAGGAATGGCTTGCTTGGATTTAGCCTGGGGGCAGGCTTCTCTCTATGGATTGGCTCTTGGTTCCTTTGTGTATTATGACTTGATGGTTGTTGCATCTTTGAGCAGCCAAACAAGGGGATGGGGTGGAGGGGGGGTGGCGTTTGAAGCGGGGGTGGGGCGGGGGTTCCTTGTTCAATGAATTATGCTACAAATGTTTGGGGAAATACCTATGGTGTGTACATAGCTTGGATGAAAATGTGATCTCTTCGGAAAAGCAGGTATTTGTCATGCTTGTCCTGCTTGCTGACATCCTAACATCTAACAACCGGTGCATGAGAACGTCCCTCCACATTAGGACAGCAGGGAATTAGACACAGACCAGCTCAAGAAGAAGGTGATACAAAGCGGTTCACTCAGAAATTTCATAATGATCCCGTTGCACTGATAGGTACCAGGGACCCTTTCATCTTTCATGTACGATGTATTTCCTTTAAGAATCCCTGAAACCAGCAGCTTTATACAAACAGTTAGAGACCTGGCAGTACAGATGACCCAAGACTGAGCAAAAGAGACAGCAAGCAACTGGGCTTTGTTTATTTTTCTACCCCTTTTAGTTTGTTTGATTTTTGAGATCTTGAAGTTTTATTGGCAGAATTAGACTATACCATATGAAATTTCTATTTTTGTATAACAAACATGGTGTGATGGCAAGTTCAACTTAATAGACAATCTAATGAAAATGCCATAATATCAGTTATCTTGCTCTCTGCAATTGAAATATATATGTATATTTATACATATATATGTGTGCTGACATACATACATGTGTACAATACACATACACATACCTGTGCCTTAGGACTTCAGGAAGGACTCACTAGAGTAACTTGGTAAATGTTAATAAAATGTGGCCAAGACTGGTCGTATTCAGGCTGTAGTCACAAGCCACACGCTACAACACTGTTTAATTCCGATACTCATAACCCACAAATAAAAGGTACTGTTTAAGAGAGAAGTAAATTAGTAGTTCTTTTTAAAAACTCAACAGGGATAAGTAGGCATGTCTTTGGGGTCCTGGAGAAGCTGGTCTACTATTTTAAATTATATAGGTGATAGAGATAGTTATACACACACACACACACACAAAGATGGGTGGATGGATAGATAGATAGATAGATAGATAGATAGATAGATAGATAGATTAAAACATACACAGATATATAGGTGGCCAGGTGGATGAACAGAAAGAAAGACAAAAGGAAAAAGGAAGGAAGCAAGCAAGGAAGGAAACAGGTAGCAAAAGACCAAATTTCTGCCTTCTTATAGTATTTTGTCATAAGCATAACTACAGAAAATAGAACTAAAGCCAAATGTGCCTCCTAAGTTTGATCTAAACTGAAGAAGTAAAGGGATTTGAGTTTATTTCCTTGAGTGCAGGCCACTCACTCTGTCTCT